AAAATTCATTAAATACACTGTCTTCAAGTGCAGAGATTTCTCTTAAAACCAAAAAAAGGTAATTTTTTAATCATACTTTAAAAATTTTACCTTTACAAATTGATAATTCAGTCTTTTTACAGAGTTTTGTAGTAAAGATTAAGGATAATTAACGTGTCATAGGACAAACAATATACATTTAGTAGATGTACAATCTCTAATAAATAAGGCCCTAATGTATACTTCAGAGAAGTTTGGAGGTTAACTTTTCTGTAGCCTGTGGAAAAATGTGTTTTCTTTCTTTTCCCTAAAAGAAACAATTTGTATTTCCTCTATTATTTGTAACTACAAGTATAAGTCTGAATCAGGTCGTTTCTAGGGCAGGAAAGTGTAAGTATTACTGGGAATGCATTGTGGTAAACCCAGTTCCATTTCCTGGGACTTTACCTTTGGCCTTCAGGAGGCAAAGTTGCTCATTAAGCTTCTTTGCTGTTGGAGACCTTTGGTAATGACTATAATTTGTGTCTAGAGTCTTGTATGATCTCTGAAGACAAGGAGTTAAGTATTGTCTAATATTTTACTATTCAGAATTTGGTCTGCCACAGTGCTATAAATAAGCTGCAAACCAGTGCTTAGCTGTGCATTTTCTTGGTATATAATTTAACCATTCTTTTCTCTTATTTTTCTACTGACAAACACAAAATTTAATTTTCCTGAGCAATTTACCTTTGCTGATTTAGAATTTACAAAGCAGCATTTACCAATTTTAAATAAGGGCTCAGTGCAAAATTTCTAAGTGGTCTTACAGTGTTTATGAGGGAGTTCAGGAAGACTTATAACCGCAAACCTTTTGGGATCATTCAGCCTGTCCTCCTTTTAACCGTTCAGGTTAAACTTTGAAGATAAAGTTATTTTGAAGGCATTAGAAGTAGAGAGTAAAGTAGAACAGTGTAATGTATCAGAAAGACAACAAGAAAGGAAACCAGCAGAAACATCTCAAAAAAGAATACAAGATCCCGAACGTGAAATTCAAGCACATGCTAAAAAGACGTTTTCAACAATGTTTTTAGAAACCGTAAACAGAAAAAGTGAATCCAGGTGAGTTATTAAGAATGTCCTTTGAGGCAAATTTTTTTCTTTTACATGCTGTGAACCGTATCTAAGGATTCCTAATGTTATTTAACTTAGAAGTAAATTTTTTATTTGACATGGATTTTGATTGAAATCTTGCGGGGACTATAAGGAGTAGTAATTTCTTACCAGTAAATCACCTCCAAAGTCATCCTTTAGTAGGTACTAAATTAGAGGTGAAAGCAAATGAGTTTATTCAGTTCTCATTGCTTCTGCTCATCAACACTTTACAGTTTCGCTGTATGATATCTAAGAATGAAGGCAATGCACTATTTAGAAATAGAATCATATCAGAGTGCTTGTGTCACTGTCACAGGTTTTAAATCTTTTTTCCATTTCTTCTCATTGTGCCAATAAAAGGATAGTCCTAAAATAAATGTTAATGTGTTCTTGCCTACTTAAAAACTTCCCTTGGTTCATCCAGTGATTTTTAGCCCTGATTAAAGTAACATCCTGTTTCAGTTCCATTGTTAGGCATTTGGCAACTGTTGCACCTCATTTGTCACCTCCAAATGATACTAAGTTGATAGAGGATGAATTTGTAATTGATGAATCAGATAGAAGTTTTGCCATTCAATCTTGGATTACAATACCAAGAAAAGCTGGGCCTGTGAAACAAGGCACAGTATCCCCTGCTGAGACCACTGCACTCCTTCAAGGTAAAGAGTCAAGAGAAAAACACTCCCATGTATCACCTAAGACTTTGGCAAGCGACAAAGCTTCCTGTAAAGCTCAACCACTAGAGAAATCTCAGCCTTCTGGTCAAGAAAGACTGGGTACAAGTTGTATGGAAAATGATTCTAGATCTACAAAACGCGAAATACATTCTCAAGATAAAAAATCGTCTGGAAGCAAAAAGGCTATAGAACAGAAACAGACAAGAAAACTTAAGGTCAATGTAGTTGAAGAACAGCTTCATATGGAACAATCTGATGATGAAAATTTAAATACGTCACATATTGCTCAAAACAAGTTTCAGAGAAATTCACTTAAAAGCATGGAAGAGTGTGAAAAGATGAGAAATGATCATGTTTCCAAAAAACAGATGCCACCTGTGGGTAAGTGTTTATATTAAATATGTATAGCTATGAACATTATTCTACCATTTTATGTTTTTCAGTATCCCTGCCTAGCTTTCAAAAGTAGGCAAAGTAAACCTAAATCAACAAGGAGCCTCAAAAGCCTTCAGGCTCTTTTCTAGACTCTTTTCATTTTGTATATAATTCAGTTGTAACTCACTAAGTTATCGTTTAGCTTCTAAGATGGCCACATAGACACAAGGAGAAGTAAAAGGGAAAGGCTAGTTATTGTAGTTGTTAAATGCCAGGTACCATATTAGGCACTGAAATCACAAAAATTACTTAAGGCACAGTTTCCTTTGTTAACAAGATCATTTTGGGGCTCGGTGCCTGTGGCTCAAGTGGCTAAGGCGCCAGCCAGATACACCTAAGGTGGTGGGTTCGAATCCAGCCTGGGCCCACCAAAACAAGAATGACGGCTGCAACCAAGAGAAAAAAATAGCCGGACGTTGTGGC